GCTACGTGTCTGACACCTGCGACGTGCAGAATGTGGCCCGGCGGGTGGTCTGGGGCCGCTTCTTCAACGCGGGGCAGACCTGCCTCGCGCCCCACTACGTGCTGTGCAGCGTGGAGATGCAGGAGAAGCTGATGCCCGCCCTGCGCGAGGCCATCACTGAGTTTTTTGGCTCCAACCCCCAGGAATCCCCCGACTTTGCCCGCATCGTGGGGGACAAGCAGTTCCACCGCATCCGAGCGCTGCTGTGCAGCGGGCGCGTGGCTATCGGAGGACAGACGGACGAGAAGGAGCGCTACATCGGTGAGGGGCTGGGGCCCGGGGCTTGTGGGAGCACCCGTGCCTGTGCACTGGGTGACGTGTTGCCATAACCCTTCTCCGCAGCTCCCACGGTGCTGGCGGACGTGCTGCCCTCTGATCCTGTCATGCAGGAGGAGATCTTCGGGCCCATCCTGCCCATCGTTGTTGTGGCCAACATGGATGAAGCCATTGACTTTATCAACGCGCGGCCGCGGCCGTTGGCCATCTACGCCTTCTCCTGTGACAGCAAGGTGCGTGTGGTCCATGGGCCAGAAAAGGGGGTGAAGGCAATGGGGCAGAAAGGCTCTTGCCCACCTTGCCGACACCCCAGGGCATGCTCTGAAAAGTTTTGAGCAACAGCGGGCTAATGGATGAGTTGGGTGATGTTTGGCAAGCGCTGCCCGTGGAGCCAGGGTGCGAGCCCCACATCTCCTTCCCTGCTTCCCTCCCAGGTGGTGAACCAGGTCCTGGAGCGCACAAGCAGCGGTGGCTTCTGCGGCAACGACACCCTGATGCACGTGACGCTGACCTCGCTGCCCTTCGGGGGGACTGGTAGGTCCAAATCCCCCAACCTGCCTGCCCTGGCCAACGTGAGCCAGGTGCCATCCTACCCCCGGTGCCTGAGCCGTGGTGGCCACAGCAAGGAGGGGTCTCGGGGGGGAGATGGAGCACCCAGGCCTGGGCCCCAGCTCCCGAGGGCTCAGTGCTCCGTAGGGAAATCCCTCTGCGCCCGGCAGGACCCCACCGGACGCCCTTTGCGTCACTGCCCCAGGGCTGAGCTCCCGGGCTCTGCAGCCCTGTTCCCGCTGAACGCGCGTGGAGCGCTGTGAGGTTTCTTCTCTCCGTCTTTGCCACCCCAAGCACGGCATTCCCTGCGTGCGTGGAAATGCTTCATATAAATGGTAGAGACGTTGGTAGCGCTTGGGTATTTCCTGGCTATTTCTGAGCAGCATGGGCACTGTGAGTGAATTTTGTGCCAGGGCTGGGTTCCTGCCCTGCTCAGGCTCACCTGGGACCTCCTCAAGCGCTGCTCCCTTTGGCCTATCCGTCGCTCTGCTCCTCGTCTGGGAGCCCATCCAAGGCGTTGTGCTTCTTGGGTAGGTGAGCTTCTTCCTGCAGGCAGCGTGGGGAGCGCTTGGGAGCAGGCTTGTACATTCACTCTGCCTTTTGGGACTAAATAGGAGGAGCAAACCGCTTATAAATGCCTGGGAAATGTGCTTATGGTAACTTGGAGATCCTCCTCAGCAAAGAGGAAGAGTTTCTGCTCTCCAGGGGCAACAACGATTGTTTTCTCAGGCGAAAAGCGAGGTCTGCTCAGCCCTGGGCCCGGGCTGTGGCACTGTCCAGGGCAGGAATACAGGAAGCCTCTGACGATGTTGCCCCAGAATACTTTCCCAATCTCTTGGTCTCTTCCCCAGAATATTCCCTGGGGAAAAGCTCTCAGTTCTCTGCTGACCCATGTTCAGCATCTCTGTTGGGGCTGGCAGCTGATTCAGCCACAAGTAGGCCACCACGACACCAAGCGCAATTAATTCCTCACCTGACTGTGGCTCAGGGAACAATTTTTGGTGGTTCCCATACTGTAACTTATCTTTATGGAAATGATTCAGACAAACTGCCTCCAATTATCAGGTGAAGCCATTTTATAGCAGCCTGGGCAGGTGAAGTGTCTGCAGTCATTCGGGCGAGACGGCATTTGCCAAGGTTTCCACAGTAGCTCGGACGTGAAGTCACTGGGCTATTAACCACCACGCGCAACCTCAAGCTTAAACCAGCCACAGGAATCGGGAGAACCGGTGCTGCTGATGTGGCTCCAATTTTTTAAGAGCTCCAGGAAGAAGCTGAGCTTCGTAGGGGCCACGGTGGTAGCTCCCAACCACAGGTAGATACGGTAGAGCACCGAGGGGGCTGTAGAGGGAAATTGAGCCTTGCAGACCCAGCAAAGCTTACAGAGGTAAAAGTGGGCCCGTGAAAATGATGCACTTGGACCTCCAAGCAGGGGGGAGCTGCAGAAGGATTGGCTGGACTGAGTAGCCGTAGAGCTGGAAAAGGCACAGGGAAGGGTGAGGTCTTCTCCACCGCGTCCCCGTTGCTCAGCAGCGGGAACATTTGCATGAGAAAAGCCTGTAAAGTTTTCCTTGCTTTGATGATGCTAGGAGTGGGCAGGAGCGGAGTCCCGTGGAAAGTTTGGACCTGTGCTGTTGTGTTGCAGGAAACAGCGGCTTGGGGAAATACCACGGCAAGTTCACCTTCGACACTTTCACCCACCACCACCGCTGCCTGCACCGCAACATGGGCCTGGAGGCCCTCAACACCCCGCGCTACCCACCCTACAACCAGCAGAAGCTGGGGCTGTTGACGGCCGCCTTCGAGATCAAGCGCAAGGGCATGTGCACCCTGCTCTGAGGGCTGCCCTGCACTGCTGGCGGACTAGGCTGGGGGGGGAAACCTGGCTGGGGACCAAAGCCACCCTCCCCGCGAGGCTGGTGCCCTCCTCGGCACCCGTCCCCTCTTCCCTTACCACGTCCTTTGCCCAGTACACGTCGGACGGCGGAGACGGCCATCTCCTGCGGGCTCACTCCTCCCCAGCTGCCTCTGCTCCGGCCTGCTTGCCAGGCCCCATCTGAAACGGCAAAAAGTTCTTTTTCTCACCGCGTACTTCTCTTCCCAGCAGAGGAACGGTCCCCGCGAGGCTGAGGACCAGCAGTTAACCCCATCTCCCCTTAGGTGGACTTTTCCTTCCGGATGAACCTCGCTCTCCCTCCTCCTAGCGCTGGCTGTTGCTTCTTCCTCTGTGTAACCCTGCCTGTAGTAAATACTTTGCATTGAGCTCTCCTGCCTGGTCTTGCCTCCTGCCTCCATTGCCAGCTTGGGCTGTGCCAGGCAGGAATCTGGCGGCCGAGCCCCAGGGGCTGCATGCCCAGACCCCCAGTGTCCCCATCCGTCACACTGACACCCTCAGCCACACCACTGCACCCCGCTGGGGTTGTGTCCACCTCTGTCACCCCGTGCCCGGCGGCTGTGTGACAGCAGGATGCCCCGGGCTGGATCCGGGGCACGTTTTGCATCCCAAGTGGTTTTGGCTGGAGCGGAGCCAGTGGTGACGCGCGGCAGGGCC